AGTCCTCCTCGCTCTAGGGATTCGCTGAGCATCATATCTTTCTTCTATTGCTTTCGTGAACAAATCGGACCAAAGGGTCGGTGGTCTTCCTGCAGTGGGTTCGATGTCCCGAAGAATCCAGTCGGTAACGGCTCTCGTCCATCGGTTTTCGTTGAAGCGCATCACGTGTCCGGCCCACATTACTTTCGATATTCTGGCGTGCAGAACGGCGTCTCTAATTTTCGATCGTTGACGTGGGTCGAAACATCGAATCCTTTCTCTCATTTGCGAGATACGGAATACTCCTAGCATCGAACTCTCGACTGCGCGTTCGATAATGCCAAGTGATCTTTCATCCTGCTTACGTAGCACCAGGTTTCTGTTGCATACGTTAGGGCAAGGATAATCGTCGAGTAGAAAAGGTGAAACACGGAGTCAGATGTTCTTCGTTCTCTTCACTACATCGTCGATGTTCTTGAACGTTCCCCAAGCCGCTCGTTTCCTCCTGCTCAACTCCGGAGCTAGGTCGTTCATCATGTTGATTTACGACCTAGATAGACGTAAATGGAGCATTCGGAGATCGTTATTCCGTTGAGCATGAATTTGGCATTCGAAACCCATCCATTCCTCATAAACTTCGTTTTCGTTAGATTTAGTTGAAGACCAATCTTTCGACAGGCGTTATCGCACCGGTCAACATTCGTTCCGCTTGGCTGATGTTTGGTGTTAACATTCGTTCCGTTTGGCTGATGTTTGGTGAGGACGATATCGTCAGCAAAGCGAAGATGGTATAATTGTCGACCGTCAATTCTCACTCCCAAATCGTCCCACTCTAATGTTGGCAGTGAGCAGTTGTGATGGAACTGTATTGCTTTGTCGAACCCCTCTTCTTACGCCAATGGTGATATAGTTGTAGAATGGCTATACTTTGGTCGTGAAATCCTTATAAAGCTCGCGAAGGATTATTATGTACCGAGTAATGATGTCCTGATTACGCAGAGCCTCTATAACCGTTTCTGTTTCCACTGAATCAAAAGCTTTCTCCAGATCGGTGAAAGTTAGACAGAGTGGTTGTTTGTACTCTCGGGTAACTTCAATGAGTTTTGTAATAGTGTGGATGTGCTCTATGGTACTAAATCCTTTTCGGAAGCCTGCTTTTTCGCATGGCTGCCTTTCGTCCAGTGTTCCGTCAATCCTGTTTAGGATAGGGATCGAGTAAAGAGTTTATAGATAACGGACAGCAAGCAGATTGGGCGATAATTGCCATTGTCGCGAAGAACTTCTTTTTAAACAACAATACGGTCTTGCCAGTTTTTTATTGAACGGGGGCCTTGCATTCTGAAAGGTAGCGAGTGAAGAGCCAAGCCAGGGTGCTGATGAGAAGTGGCGGCAGCTTTCCCAGGTGTTCTGGTCCAATCCTGTCTGAACCGGGTGTTGTTCTGCTCTTCACCGACGATATAGCATGTCGGATTTGGAAGGAAGGACCGGTGGAACGACATACTCATCCTCTTACAATAATATGATGGTAAGAGGACATGGCTAGCGAAAAGATCCGAGTAGTATTGGCGGTTGACTTTCTCCATAGCCCTTCTAGAAGCTATAAGTATCTCGTCAGGGCATGCATCGGAGTGCAATCATCTTGGTCTTATAAATAGCGGAGCCTCGTTGGGTTTTGCGAATGCTCTTCCCAGCTTCTGCAGCTTCTACTATAAGGTGCTCCTTCATCGCTTCTCTGCAGCGCTTCGCATGTTCGAACGTTAGGATTCGGATGCCTGTAGCTCGTGCGATTCCACGTTGACGTATTAGCTCGAGTGTCTGCGGCGACAGGCGTCTCTTTGTGACCTCAGGACTCTCGGCTATCATAGCTCTAACGTGAAGATATTCAACGAGGCGATCGTAATCTTCGTCGATGTTGTCGACAATAGTATCTTACCAAAAGCCGATTAATAATTCGTATACATCCCACTTTATGGTAGTTCTGGGACTTCGTTGTTTGAATTTATCAGCTTTATTTCCTCTCCGCGAAAAATGGTACGTTGCACGAATGAGGCGATGGTAAGATCCCGTGTAGAACTTAGGAACAACAGCGACATCGGTTAGGCAAAACATTCGATTTACTAAGATGTGGTCTACTTCGTTATGGTACTCTCTATTGGGAGACTCCCACGTCCGTCGCTAAGAGTGAGGCCTTTGGAATTATGAGTTACCATGGATAATTTGAGTCGTCATGATAAACTCTAACAACCTCTCACCCTGTTCATTCCATTCTAATCCGTAGGTCCCAATGTGACGTTCTTCAGACGTTCTTCTTGGTCCTATTTTTGCATAAACATCTCCGACAATGACCTTGAAGAATGTATGATGTTCTCTGAAGAATTTTTCGAGGTCCTTATAGAACACTTCGACTTCGTCTTCGTCATATTTTGCTGTTGGTCCGTAAGCAATGAAGATGGTCAAAACCGGCAGAGAATCACATCGCTTCAACCGTAATCGTTCGATACGGGCTGTTAGTTGTTCAAGCAAATTGATGTTCACGGTCAAATTCGATTTGATGAGGTCGCCAACGCCGCCGACACCTCTGTTACCGGATGTTTCAAGGAATAGTTCTTTTTCGGTGTCATAAACAGCGTGAAAAGGATGTAGTCTTCTCTGTCTCAGCCAGGCCGATGACGTCGTACCTTACCCTTCTTGCTTGAATCAGTAGATCTTCTACAGCGGAATCGTGAGCAAGGGTTCTTGCATTGTAGGTATAGGTACAGATCCTCATTTTAGTCCGTTTCAATCTTGGCAGCCTAGTTTGGCCCTGAGATTTTAGCAGCCTCTCCGTACTCGTCCTACCTGGCGCTGCTTTACCAGGGCTCTTTCAGGTCAGGGAAATGAGGCCCATATTTGTTACTGTTTCTGGCATTTTGATACTCATCGTATAGCTTGCCAGGCTCTAAATGTGATGGCTGGGTACTCACGAGTAGCTTGCCAGGCTCTCTCGAAGCTGCTTATTTGTTGGAAGCAACTTCTAACCGCCTCCCATATACTTCACAGCAGCTTGATTGCAGGCTTTTGGCCGACTTGACTCCTAGCAATAGTGTTTTGTCAGGTCGGCGCTGCAGAAGCAGGGAGCTCATTCCCTGAATCCACGTGCGTCTCTGGGAAGCACACGACCGCTTTTGTTTCGCGTTTATTCCCTATCCACCACCTGGGGACGCGCCACATGCCCTCGGGACTAACCGGGCGGGATCCCTCAGAGAGCGAGGTCCGTGGGACTTAGAGAGTTGAGTGGTGAGCAAAAACACAGCCTCGGGCGAGAATCGAACCCGCGTTCCATCCATGGTCGGAACGCGTGCTACTACTACTACACCTCCCAGGCACATTTGCGCCACCACTCATTATTCAGCATCTCTATGTTAGCTGTCGGCCACCATACTTTAACAGGTTTGGTCGGGTATGCGATCTCGCATAAACCCAGCTGTAATAACTAGTGCTCAAAATTTCTAATATGGCTGTCAACTCAACTGGGTTCACAAGGCGAAATTGTGTACCCGACCGAACGTGTATAAGGATGGTGGCTGACAGCTAGTATAGAGATGTTGAAGAATGAGATGTGTAACAAATGTGCCTCGGTGGTGTAGTGATAAAGTACGTGTCCCGGTATGGATAGAACGCAGGTTCGTTCTTGCGTGAGGCCGGGTTTTTGCTCACCATTTAGTTCTTCTAAGTATATACACTTGTGACGATGACCAACTTTTCCGCTTATTCTATATACTGCCTTTAAAACTTCATTCGCTTTCCTGATTTCCTCCAGTTAGTGAATTATTAATAAGTTTTTATATGAAAATCAAAAACTTATCTTAATTAGCTGACGCGAGGTTGGTGAATTAGTCGTAGATGTTCGGCTGACGTTTCGGCGACCCGCCTTCCTCAGAGCCTGGGAATATGTAACATTAGTGGTGCCTCCGTAATAGAACACTACTGTTTTCTCCTTGTAATTTTATTACTTCGCATATCATAACACATTAGTACTTTTATAATGAATAAGTGTCTGTCCAAAAAAAAGAAAAGAAAAGAAAAAAAGAGGACTAATACCACATACGCCCAGGCTCTGAAGAAGGCGGGTCGCCGAAACGTCAGCCGAACTTCTACGACTAATTTACCTACCTCGCGTCAGCTAATCAAGATAAGTTTTTCGATTTTCAAATAACAACTAATTATGCCGAGGTTTATGGAAAGTCGAACTTTTGAGTTATCAAAAAGTTGTGGGTACTGCAAATTTCTTTGTTTTTCTTCGAGTTCTCTTGTTATTTTTACACCTGGAACCAACTTCCTGAAAGAATTTCTAGCGCCAGTTCGGTCGCGGAATATATTGTTTTTCTTGGTCAATCGTGGTTCTTAGTGAGCTTAACCAATTTTCAATTTTTTGTTCTCTCTATTCCGGATTTCTCGAGAGTTTTAAGTTTTGGTAAATCACTCATTTCTCTGGCACAAGAAGTTCACCATAACCTCCTTTCATGTGATGTTTAGCATTAATAGAGGTCACATTGTGTCGATGCTGTTCGGTTTCATGCAGAATTCCTCGCTTCTCCTCTTTGAATCCTTGTAATCGTTCATCATAATGAGCTTAGAAAGGTGTAATTTTTATTGCAAAGCAAAAAAGAGGCAAGCTTCTTAACTACTACTACCATGTGAAAAGGCTATTTCATGCTGCGCAAGCATGTCAGGCTTCTTACCTTCTGGCTGATGGTTTCAGAAGAAAATTGTTGAAGGCCGTCAGGAGCAGTCTTTCTCATCTCCCATACTGATGTGGCTCTATGTGTTTTAATCAAAATTTTCAAGTGTCCACCAGTGACAGTGGTGACTTAAGCCCTTCTCGTCATCACAGGTTTCATTCCTAGGAGGCAAATTTAATGCAAAGGTAACACCGTGAAGTTCTTAAAGGTTAACTAGCCAAAAGCATTTCAGTATTTTTACTACTGTCTTCGACTTGGTGGAAAAGAAATAGTGGTCTTTATATTATCGTGATATGAGGTATCATCACTATACCAGCTCATTCGCATCTAAACGAAGAATTGTGATAGGAGTTTGCTCTTTTGCCTCGTATAACGTCACACTCTTGTTCATTATATAATGTTGTTTTCAAGTTTCGCTTGAAGGGGACGCGTTAAAGGCTCCGCTTTTCCCAGTTAAATGAGGTATTGAATTAAGCCGCCCTAGCGAATGTTGTAATTCTTTTTTGAATTCAAGATGAGAACTCGTTAAGGATAGCTAATGGAAAGGAGTCTCTACAGTTACATCAAATTTTTTTTGAGAATCCAATTTCCGATTAACTAGCAGGCCATATGAACAAGTATAAGCGATACACTCTGGCCGAGTGGAATCAGCGAACATACCTCATGGTCCTGTGAACACAAATTCGGAAGTTTTTATTAAGCGTAACACCATGCAACCCTCTATGACTTTTTATGTCTATGAAAGGGTTTTGTTCCATTTCCTACACTCCTTGTACGTGATATTCGCCAGTATCAATATGACAAGCGTTCCTCCATGGGAAGAACCGACTTCAATTTTTACTTCAAAAAAAGAAGAACGACGAATCGAATTGTAAAAAATGGCCTATATTCAAGAAAAATACAATTCGAGAGGAGATATGAAGAATTTTTCTCGTGTAACATTAGTGTTCTCTTTTTTCTTCAAGTTTCAAAATGCATATTTTGCTATGCTTCATTGTTGAAATATCTCGTATTTAGCAATTATATAATCGTACCACTCAAAATAACAATTACTACCTCTACCGTAGTATATAAATTATATCTCACACTAAGTAATTATAGAGAATTGAAGAATACCTACTGGGAAGAGCATCAGCGGAAGCCTTACTCTTAGAGAGCCTATTCATAGAACAACTTTTGGGCCGCTGCTTTACTCTATCAATTTTATCACACGTATCTACAAATATCTACTTTATTCAAGATAATCTCAATTTTCAGTATGATAGTTTTTCGGTTGTCAACTGAGTATTACGAAAAATTTCTACAGCAGTAATTTGTGCAGACTGGTCTCTGAAGCAATTTTTAACCTATCTTATTATTCAGAGGTAATGGATCCTTCTCGGGGAATACCATCGTCAACGATCACATTACTCAACACTGTGTTTCGCAGCATCGAAGTGCTGCTGCAAATACAAAGCTCGGTCGTTGCTATCGCATTCATTATTTTCTTCTCCAAAATACGATCTGTACATGTGAATCTTCTCATAGTCATGGAAAGTTTTATGGCATCGTCTCTGATTGCATCATTAATCAGGATATATCCAGCTGTTCAAAATCTGCTTTCGCCTTTCAAAAAGTGGCATTCCGATGCACCACTGACGATTTTGCGGATCATTGCTGTACATGCAGGTGTGTGATGTAGCTAGCTATCCATCTCCACTACGTTCTTCTCGTTTTGCTTGGAAAAACAAGTCAAAGCTATCAATGCTCTTTTAGCTTAACCAGATAGAAACTACGTGATATATATATATATATATATATATATATATATATATATTACCTTTTGTTTTGAGTGTTTTCTCAAGACCACGCTCAATTTTCAATATTCCTGATAATCATTTGTTGAGCCATGCATGTAGTTTGTTATAGGGCAGCTTATAGCCCGATACACATGTTTCGACCTTAACAGCTTCGTCAGTCGGCTAGCAGCTTTCATCTGTAGCCAGTCCTCACGGGAGAATCTAATCTCTTCACAGAGTTGGCAACGCCGGACATTTTACACTTGCCGTAAGATTAAAATTTCACTTAATGGCGGTGTTTTGCGCTCAATCGCTCTTGGCTTGTAACGTTCAAACACTGCCATTTAGTAATAATTTCGTGAATTGTTCGTTGCCGCCAACTCTAAACAGGGGTCGGGTTCCTCTGAGAGGATTGGCTGAAGACGAACGGTATTGTCCGACTGACAATTCTGTCAAGGCCGAAACACGTGTATCGAACTTTGTAGTTGCCCTATAACAAACCACATTGCATAGCTCAAAAAGCGATCATCAGATATATATATATATATATATATATATATATATATATATATATATATAACGATTTGCCCTGTGGCGCGCCACGCGCGGCAGGAATTTTCTATTTGCGCGTGGGTAGTAATAAATGCGTAGGAAGTTTTCTGGTGCATATAAATTTCACTTGTGTTGAATACAATTGTCTTCTAAGGAATGTGTTCGTGTTTTCCCTTTTTTTTTACCAAACTAAGAATTTCCCACTGGGCTATTAATAATGATTCAATAGCTTGGGAATTGCTGATGTCAACTCCAGACTTAGTTTATGAGAACGCTATGATGCTATATTCTAGCATGAGAAGAAGTATACGTTTTACGTTAGTAACGATATAACACATCATGTCCTATGATAGAAGCTGCCTTGATAGAGTTCGAAGCGCCATATGCCAGATGAAATATTTTGGCCATAGAAGGGAACAACACGTCTGTTCTACTATGAAGATCTCAACTCCTGAAATACACTGCTAATGGAAAATTTGGAGACAGCTATCAACGAAGTAGCATTATGCAGTGTACGACATTAATTTTAGTAGACAATTCATTGTCCTGTAATTTCCAGTCACAATGATGACTTTAAAGTACTGGATAGAATGAGATCATATGAACACTGAAAAATTTATTTAGCAATATTTGGTTTCGCAGGTGCAAAATGATAACATAACTAATTTTTCGACAACCGCTTGTAGCAATGAATAAGATTAAATTGCTTTTTACATAAGAAGTAAATGCTGGATTTGAGTGGAATAAAAATAAATATCAATAAGAATGAGTAAATTGCTCAGTAATCTCCCAAAATATGGTCTTTTCGTAAGTATCTGATTTGTGCTTCCAAAATGCGGACTAACAATGACATTTTTCCCAGATTGCAGAGATGAATTCGTTCACAGTTAGATATACACTAAATAAATAATTAAATATATGTATATCACATCGCGTTTATGTTCAATATCACAATTAATAGGCAAGTTAGTATTTTATAGTTGTTTTCGCAAGTCTCACCCAAAATCTGTTCTAATAAAGTATTTTCCATCCTCAGTTACTGACGACATTTAGAAATCCTTTGATGAAGACGAAAGTCTCGATTTCATCAGAAAACTACCACATTGTCATGATTAAGCACTACGCTCGCCGCGCGATTCCGTCGCCTGTCGCACAGAGAATCAGCGCGGTTTTCAGTGGGTTAAGATGCCACACCGAACATATGCACTTGTCAAAATGAGACACTAATTCGTTTGAAAGGAGATCGCTGAGTTAAGAAATTATTAATAATGTATTCGAATCAAGCTTATTGAACATTTGATAAGAGAGCTCCTTATTGAATAAAAAAATTTTATGTAGCTTAAATTTTCTAGTTGGTTTTCATCCACCTTTGTTGGCTTTCGAACGACTTCTGGCTGTTGTGAGGTCGAAAACGTACGAGAAGGAGAGTAATGTGCGACTACTTTTGTTTCTGATTTTCTGTACGGTCGGTCTCTATGTTTCATCCAAAGTCATTGAGATAGTTTTGTAAAGTAGTAACAAGCTAAAAAAGCGATAGTTCAGCTCCTTATGTGAATATTGAGTCTATATTATGTGGTGGCATGATATTGCAGAGTGTTTTATATCGCTGACTGCTGTTATTTTAGTGGACACTCTCCTCCATTCTTGGGTGTTTACGACCAATTATTGCCCTCAAGTCGATGTTCGTCATTCTTTCATTTTTTCCAATCTATGGCATTTCTACTGCGGTATGAAAATCAGTTTTGATTGAAATATACAGAGACTGCGACTAATCAACTTGGCTTCTTCAACAATCACTATATTTTCACCCCGGAGAAGCTGATAATATGTATATTCACGTAAGGCGTTCACATAGCTCTATTGTTAGAGACGGCAAGCTGTACACTACAGATTTTTGATTCTGGCTCAGAATTAATACACTCCGGAAGTCTGTTAATTACCAACAACAACAATGTGTGATCCGCTGAAATTAGTGAGGTGTACATTGATAAACAGCCATATTGTATAGGAAACCTAGGTATTCAGTCGCCTTAACGATCCTGCAAATGGACTCAAATGCATCACGCATTTCTCACCCATTTATCGACACAGAGTGCTTTTACTTATTTATTTCATTATCTAATTCGTTGTCTACTGTATTTTTGTCATACTGAATATTCAGATTATTTTATACATTCGTCGAAGTAATTTGGCAGTGTGGCGAAGGAATCGAGGAATACTTCAAATGTCACATAATTATCAGGTATTGACTAATGAAAATTCTGTGGTCTTTTAATGCTTGCCAATCATGAGTGTCATTATGACCCTCAACACTTTAGAGGCCATTTTTCGCTATACAGTGCTTTTTATTTAGGATTTTAGCAATAATTTGGAACCTAAATTGCGGCAATCTCAACAATGTGTTTGTTTTCAGAAAAATCGGTCCTAGTAAGTTGTAGCAGCAAAATTAAAATCATGTTATTCCTCAGCTTGCGTTCTTCGGTTGGTTAGGGTCCATCGATCGCCTCTTATAGAACTATTCTGATACTCATTCAATAGCGCAAATCTCGAGGAATCCGTGCCTAAATTCGACTTTCAATAAGGCTTTCATAAAGCTTCACTTAAATTTCTTCGATGCATAGATCTGCTTAAATCTCTTACAACTTTTTACAGTTGCCTATCAACGCGACTTCTTCTCTAACTACAAATGGGGGCGTCGTGGCCGAGTGGTTGTGGTGCTCGTCGCGACGCGCATAGAGGTTACCTTCACCACCTCCCCCCCCTTTTCCTCCTCAACTCTCTTCAGCAGCCAGCAAAAACTCCCTATGAAACGCCACAGCAAGGTTCTCGTTGAGATTGCCAAAAGACTCACTCAACCAGCACTCTACGCCGTTCAAGAAGAAGGCGAAAAGTGAATCAAAGAAAGCGAAAAGTGAAAAACTGTTAGAATTACTGAGAACCGCGCAATAATAATTGCGATGGGGTTGTGTAAATAGATAAAAGAAACAAGCTCAAAATTCGCCTTTCTCTAACATTTGAATATGGAACACATTTAGCACCAAAGTTACATATTTTTAAAGTCTTACACTCCGATGGAGCAATAGAGTGACGACCAGGATTTACGCATGTCAGAATTCTCTACTTCTCAATTAATATCTCTGCTATCCCATTACGGACGATGCATTTACTTTTGCAATAAGTCGGCTTTTTTGCTTTTATTCTCTTTCATGAGGTGCTCACATGGTGTAGTGGTACGAGGCCCCACGTAATACACAAATGTTTTGGGTTGGACACCGCTCCCCAGAATAGCTCAGCCTGGAGTAAGAGAACTGCTACCATAGATGTCTCAAAGATAAAAGTACTAATTCAGTAAATTATAATTTTCGTTTAAAAGCCATACACGAGATTGTCCTTATACAATTCATTCGAATAGCTTTCGGCGGTTTCGTCTTTTTGAGAGCCTGACCGGGTCGTCTACAAACTAGTCAGCCAAATAACCTTTTTACCTCTACAGAAAAAATTATGAAGAAAAATATTCCTGCTGTTAAAGTAATGGAAGTGTTGGCCTGACTACATTGTAGATAATCCCTCCTGTTTCAGGCTCTCAAGAAGGCAAAACCACTAAAATGTTAGCTGTTTGAAGAAATTGTACAATAACGACCTAGTGTTTGGCCTACAGAAGAAAAAGAATTGTAAATTAGTGAGCAGTGTTAAAGTTGATAGATAGTCGGTCTTCGGAACTGACCTGGTAAATCGATAAGCCTCTGCATGTTTTTTATACGGCGCATAGTTCGGTCAAATGGATGTCACTCATTTAAAAAATTAGTCAGCGCTAAAGACTTCATTCTTGTGAGCTTCACCCTATTCATAGCTTCGCCAAGACCTGATAAGCTACAGCTGCTGAGTACAGTATATGCATTACATGCATTGTATATATAACTTATGACATTGCAGAAAGATTGTAGGTCAGAGAAAATGTGGAAACATCTAAGTGGTTATTTCGATTCATGGCAGTCTCGTCGATTCAAATTCTTACAGGCTGGACGTCACTCATTTTATTGACTTATTTTGTGTAAGTTTCGTTTATTAATCAAAGTTAGTCATTCCACCAAATTATCTTGGTGTCCATTTTCATATAAACCGTAAATGAAGCCAAAACCTAAAAGGTATTTTCCGTTCGCTAGCCCAGAATGGAAAACCGATCTCTCTTCTCGTTGGAAAAGAAATTTCATAAGAGTTACATATAAACCTATGAGATTTGAAAGGTGAGCAAAAAAGCGACCTTAGGCGGGAATCGAACACGCGCTTCATCCTATCCAGGAACGCGTGTTAAACCATTACACCACCGAGGCACATTTGCCCGACCACTCATTTTTCAACATCTTTATGTTAGCTATCAGCCACCAGCCTTCAACAAGCTGATAGCCAGCATAAAGATGTTAAAGAATGAGTGGTAGCGCAAATGTGCCTGGGTGGTGTAGTGGTAGAGCACGCGTCCACGGATAGAATCAAACGCGGATTCGATTCCCACCTGAGGCCGTGTTTTTGCTCACACTCAGTTCTCTTAATTTATATGTAACACTATAACACACGAAAAAAGCAGAGAAAAATATTAGAATTTTTGATTACTTCACAAGGTTGTTAGTAACCATTCGAAAGCCTATATCTCTGGCTAGGGCGATATGTGGCTATTTTTTGAAAGAAGCCTTTTGTAACGCTTCAGCGATGGAAAACATTTGTGTTTCACACGTACATATTACTCACAATACAGAGCCCTTTCTTCATACTATTAGTAATCATTCGATAGCGTAAGATTTAACGATGCGCTATGCTTAGTTTCAACACGACCACCGATCGACGGCGCTTCGGCGGGTCACATGTGAAGGACGATTTTTGTTATTCAAATAGCAATTGTTTTTCCGCCTTGGAAGAAACTTCGGATTTAACACATGGCTCAGAGTTTTCTTCCTCCTTTTTTCCTCTACAAGTTACCTCTACAAAGTCATATGCTTTTCGTACTTCTAGCGAAATAATGTTTGAATAGCACGACCAATATAAAACGTAATTTTTTTTCTGAACTTTACAGTGTTAGAAAGGGTATTTTCGAAAAAAAGGCCATATACTACGCTAGCCAGATTCAAGCTTTCGCATGATTATTATGACTCTTAAAAAGTTTCTGCCCAGCGAAAAGGATTGGTTTCTCATCTTGCGCTAGCAAAAGGAAAAGAACGTATTTGAATTTTTGGAAAAATGTTTCTTAATATACATAATTGAAGTGAGTCATACTCAAGCATTTTGAACTTTTTTGGAATTATTCGCATAACTGCAGTGACAAATGGAAATTCTTGCAATTTTCAGAGAAGTGAATTTTGTTTCACTACTTCCTGTGAAAATTTTTGCCTTTATTTTTGAAGTATGTATTGCATTGCTTCCTACTACAACGTCATTTGTCCTATACCATTATAACAGCAAAATTAATACGGCGTTGAAACGATGGTTCAATAGACGTGAGTTAATTGAGATAACAGAAAGCTGTTGAAGTCCTTCAATTTTGAGTACTCTTGTCATGTCATTATTGGTGCGCATTAATCATAGTTTGTGTATAGATCACGGCTAGCCCATAATGAACGAGACCCAGCCGAGAGCACGTAATTATCACACTACACAATGGGAGAAGCGAAAGGCAAATAATGATAACTACTGGAAGCATCACCTTAAAATATCCAAATAGCTTTGAAAAGACGTTGAACAGGGGTCTTTCTGGGTTTTCGGTGAAGTCAAACGCACCCAAGTAGCGGAGGAGACTAGTGACAGATTTATACGCGATTTCGTGAAAAAACATCTCGACATATTCAAGAAAAAAAAAATCAATTCTTGACTCCACAGCACTGCTGAATTCCTTGTATGTCATATCCTCATAACGTTTCGTATCTAAAACTCTTATCCTCCTTTTTCAGCAAGTGTTTATGCGACGTTCACAAGAAATCTGTTGCGTTTGAATGAACGCATTCTATTATCTGTTTCTAGTCAGCCACAGTCTTTGCATGTCTTATTATTACCATACTACAGCGGTTTCAGGTTTCGGTATTTATCCTGAGAAAGCATTGGAAAGATCGAACAACATTGTAGGACTGGAGGGGAATAAATTGAAATTTGATGTAGGTTTGGTGCACACGTTTGGTCTTTTTCCTTAATAGTTTTGTCTGCCTAGATTTCAGGTCAAAGACGAGGGCATTAACTACTTCCATCAATACCGGATTGCTTGGTCATCACAATGACGAGAGATGTGGGCGATGAATTCGCATCAAAAAGGATCTTGTATGATGACGTGGAAAGTCGCTATGGAATCTGCAGTGAAGTAGATGTAGTGCTGTTCTTGGAGTTAACTTTAATTGTACGAGTACCGTGACAGAAAATAGTACTTGTTCTCCTAGTGTTAGGAGTGACAGAAGTAAAGTATACTATTTTGAGACAGTTTCAAAAGAAGTCAATAATCGAAAGCATTCAACGTCTAAGACTTGAAAGATTGAATTGCTACTTATTTCGAATGCGCGAGTGTTCTTCTCTATTGGAAACATAGTAGAAACAAATGATAATGGCGAGCTCACAGATTCATGATTCGTTATTGGTGGGGTGCATCAGATTTCAAATCTTAGAACGGGAGTTTTGAAATTTTGTGACTGTCGTAATCTCCACATTCTAACCAACAAGTTACAGGCTTACTGGCCTAGTACTATAAAATTCAACATTTCTACAAGCAGTCTTGCCACCGATTTCTTTTTTCTATTGTAATCGCTCCGCTAATAAAACTTTCACTACAATTCAAACACTTGTGTCCCAAATCAACGTCACGGGTCGCGCGCGGCGAGAACTCCTCGTTTCCGCACACTGCAGTGAAATGTGGGAATTCATAAAGTAGAGCTTCTGTGAAACTATTATCATCATTAAATGATGGAACACCGCGAAAGAGCTTGCATAAATGTTTTTTTGTTATAAATGACGTTAATGTGCCGAAAAATCTCCTATGTATCAACGGAAAAAATGACATTTGCGACGAGTAGCATATTTTCAGTTGTTGTATGACATTTGTTTGTTCTCAATCTATGTTTTCTAGTCGCTACATAGCTTAAAAAATGTCAGTTTGACATTGAGCTAAATTTATGATTCCAAATCTTTTCGCTGCAAAAATGGATTATTATGGACTCTTTAACTCATTTTTTCCAAAAAGAATTCTCAGTTATCGTGGAATTCCTTATTTCCCAGTGGTAGAGCTACATAGTGAGGAAACCAACGTATTTTCAACTTACTTTCCATATTTTTTCGATGATGCTGTGTAGATGTACTTCGCAAACACTTTTTCTGCAAGGAATTACTTCTGAAAAAAAAACCTGTGTGGAAGGTCTTCATAATATATAGCTGGAGCAAGCCGATAGATATTGCAATCTTTTACTAGGGTGAGAAAAAAGTTCATTACCACCCACTGAAAATTCGAGGTCTATGCATGTATTCGACTAAAAACGACAACAAACGTTGTTCAGGATAGAGACCATCATCATTCACAATCTTCTGTCAACGATCATCAACGATCTTCCGGATTTTCTCAGGAAACTATTCTATGGATTTTGAATCAATAACTCCTAATATGCATCTTCAACTTTGTCACACGTTTTGAATCGGCGTCCCTACAGGAAGTGTTCTGCTGAGCGGAAAAGACCACAGTCGGACGGCGCAGCATCTGGATTGTCGGCCGGATGGGGCAAGACCTCGACTCTCTCCAATTCATCAAACTTTTCTTTAGTCTTTTTTATGAAGTGAAATTTGGTATTGTAGTGCTGAGACAGCGCTCGTTTACGATGAATCAGTGTCGGGTGCTTTTCCTCCGACTAATATTACTGTGAGAGTTTCATATAGAAATCTTCCAGAAATATTCTCATGGAATCACATTAACCGATACAGTGTGAAATAAACAGGAAATTCGAATTATTCGTTGGTGTTAAGGATTCTGTCAACCTAGTATCTGAGAACTTTGGAAAGGATCCAATGCATTGATCTTTATCTGAATTGCTTGGAGAAAATACAGTGATCTATAAAATTTATGTTAGAGTATAAATGGATACTATGAAAAGTTATTACCTATAAGGCAATAGACCAAAGCTTCTCCTACAACTCTATAGAGGTCTCAACTCTTGAAATCTACTAATGATGATATGTTGCTCCAAGTTATCTATGAAGTGGCAGCTCACATTATCATTTTTGACGGACATTTCAATGTTACGTACTTGTTTCAGCATATTTCGTCAAAAACCAGCGTTACTGAAGTTTTCTTTATCACATTAAGTCAGTTAATGTCTATTGAATTTCCTTTAGTGGATAAAAGTCTAAATTCTATTGAAGAACTACCATATTCTAACTGCGACGTGTTGCGCTCGTCATGCGAACCGGCCGCCTGTCTAGTAAAACCGTGGGCTTAAGGGTTTCAAGATCGACTATCTATTAAGCTAAGCATTGATAGTTATTACAGGCAAATATTAGGGATTGCCCTCTTGGATTGATACGAGGTTGCTATCAGTAATTGTCCTTCGATGACTGACGTTTCGTTAACTTCGTCTGCTTCAGAGCCTAAGCGTATTTTATGTGCGATATTCGTGGTCCTTGACGGAGTTCCTACAATACCAGTGGAAGTCTATTCTATGAACAAACATTACTTTGTCATAAAGTGCCCCTAGAAGTTTTTTAAATGCAAAACTATCGTGTTGATATAGTGAAATGACGTTTCAACACAGCTAGATCAAAAATATAAACGGAGAGAGAGCGACAGGTCGCGTGTAATAGAGAGGCTATTGACTTTCCAGTTTTTCCTGCTTTATTTTGAGCATGCCATGTGGATGCTCTCTTATGCAAGCACAAAGCGGTGCACCTTTCTGCCAAGATATTGCTAATGTATTGCTGCCTATTCAAACAAAATAAGTAAGCTATCAAGAGTGTCTAAATCAAAGTGCTGTCGGAAATTTTTAATAGTTATTGAGTTTGCACTCAACATTCCACGTCGTTGACCAGTCTTCAGTCTTCTATACCCGATTGTGCAACTCAAAAAATTATATGAACTGCACACGAACCTCTCTCAACTGAATCTTCCTCACGAAGAGATTTAGCCAGCTAGTCGTGAGTGCACTAGGAGCGTTCACAGATGACAGTTAGGGAAGTTAACGCGAACCACTGTGATCATGTGCATTCCCAAGCCGCAAGGAACTTGAGGAGATCGACTCTTTGTTTTTGCTATGCCAATTATATTTTTTTTCCATATGAATCAAATTGGCCTGAAGTGTTCAATCGAGTGATTCCGAAATACATG